ACCCCGGGCCCGGCGCCCCGCGCCCGCCTCGCCCCGGGCTCCCGGCGGCCCACGGAGCTGAGGAAGGGGAAGGGCCGACCTCCCTGCGGGAGCACGCCTGTAACCCTCGCGACTCTGGAGGCGAGATCTGGGGATCGCGCTTCCCTTCCCGGCTGGGCGGAGCCCCAGCTCAAGCCCCAGGACGGGCATGAAAGACGTGAAGACCCAAGCGAATAGGTGAAAAACACGAAGAAAATGTTGGGAAGCACACTGGTTTAGCGGCGCACACCTTTAATCCCTGCGTTCAGAGGGCGGCAGCCTGAGTGTGGGGAGACCCTGTCTCCACAGGGCTGGTGTGGCTCGCGGAGCTGCTGCCTGAGCTCTGAGAGGTGCTCGTTCATCCTCGGTGGGGGAACGTGTGTGTGTGAACGGACTTACCTGAAGCCAGAGGCTGGCAGCGCATACCTATAATTTTAGCTACCGAGGAGGCTGAGATCGTGAGCTGGCGCCAGCTCCAGTAGGAAAGTCCTCGAGATTCTTCAGTTAACCAGCAAAAACAAATAATGGCCGGGCGCGGTGGCTCACGCCTGTCATCCTAGCTACTCGGGAGGCTGAGATCTGAGGATCTCAAAGCCAGCCAGGGCAGGAAAGCCCGTGAGACTCTGATCTCCAATAAACCACTAGAAAGCCGGAAATAGCGCTGTGGCTCAAGTGGTAGAGCGATTACCTTGAGCTGAAGAGCTGAGGGACAGCACCCAGGCCCAGAGTTCAAGCCCCATGACCAGCAAAAAAAAAAAAGAAGCGGAGGTATGTTTCAAGTGGGAGAGTGCCATCCTTGAGCATAAAATCCCAGTGAAAGTGCAAGGCACTTAGTTCAAGTCCTAGAACTGGCACACACATAAATACTAGTAAATGCATATATTTATGCAAATATATTCATATATCTTTAGTTTAACTTATAATTAAATCAATACAAGTAAAACACTTGAGGTTGTATTGTTACTTTTTTTTCCTAACAAGTTGGCAAGGACTGAAAAAGTCTGAGGAAACCTAGGTTTGGCTGAAGTACAAAACACACAATCTGTGGGAATGTCTGTTGGTCCAAAATAGTTGAGCAGTTAAAAGTATCAGTAGTGCTGGGCACTGACAGCTCACACTTGTAGTTCTAACTACTCACTACTCGTGAAGCTAAGATCTGAGGATTGTGGTTGGAAGTCAGCTTGAGCCAGAAAGTCTGTGAGACTCATCTCCAATAAAAGTACTCAGAAAAAGCCAGTGGCTCAAGTAGTAGAGCGCTAGCCTTGAGCCAAAGAAGCTCAGGGACAGCACCCAGGCAGAGTTCAAGTCCCAGGACCAGTACAAATAATGTATTCTCACAATACAGGAAAACTGCAACACCTGGAACAGATAGTTTGTGTGTGTGTGTATATATATGTGTGTGTGTATATAATTTTATTTATGTGGTACCAAGGAGTCAAACCCAGGGCCTCATGTATGCGAGGCAAGCACTCTACCGCCCTGTCTGTATTCTTTAAGACTGATTCCATGGACACAGAGGGAAAAGTAAAATGGCAAAGATTTTTTTTATTTTTTTGGTCCTGTCGTGGGGCCTAAACTCTGGGCCTGGGCGCTGTCCCTCAGCTCTTCAGCTCAAGGCTAGCACTCTACCACTTGAGCCACAGCACCACTTATGGCTTTTTTCTTTTTGCTTATGTGGTGCTGAGGAATCGAACCCAGGGCCTCAGGCATGCAAGGCAAGCGCTCTACCACTGAGCCACCTTCCCGGCTCCTTGGCAAAGATTTATTAAAGAAAAAGATAAGCAGGGGCTGGGAAGGTGGCTCAGTGGTAGAGCACTTGCCTTGCAAGCCTGAGACCCTGGGTTCGATTCCTCAGCACCACATAAGCAAAAAGAAAAAAGCCGGAAGTGCGCTGTGGCTCAAGTGGTAGAACGCTAGCCTTGAGCTGAAGAGCTGAGGGACAACGCCCAGGCCCAGAGTTCAGGCTCTAGACGGGATCTCCCCCCCCCTCAAAAAAAAAAGAAAAAGATAAGCTAAGCTCCTGCTAGGCTGGAGGACACCACCTGATGTCTTGTGTAGGGATTAATAAGATGTCTGCGAGTGAAATACATAACCCTCAAGTTGATTAGGCAGCTGGGCACTGGTGAGTCACACCTGTAATCTTGAGATCAGAGGATCATGGTTCCAAGAAAGTACATGAGACTTTTTTTTTTTTTTTTGCCAGTCATGGGGCCTGAACTCTGGGTCTGGGCGCTGTCCCTCAGCTCTTCAGCTCAAGGCTAGGGCTATACAACTGGAGCCACAGCGCCACTTCTGGCTTTTTCTGTTTATATGGAGCTGAGGAATCGAACCCAGGGCCTCATGCTTGCAAGGCATGCGCTCTACCACTGAGCCACCTTCCCAGCCCTACATGAGACTTATCTCCAGTTAACCAGGAGAAAGCCAGAAGTGGAGCTGTGGCTCAAATAAGAGGGCTAGCCTTGACCACAAGAGCACAAGAACAGCACATAGGCATGGAATTCAAGCCCCAGTGTTGGTGCATGCACACACATAAAATCATTGTAGGTTTCACATGGACTGTATGAGTTTCCATGGGTCAATTAAACCCTCAGACTGCAAGCTGGTTCCTATCAGTCCACCGTTCAGGCACAAGTCTTCCAGAGATGTTCATGGGCCTCATATGCAACTACTCAAAGACATGGTGAGGGTTGTTGAATCTGTGGCTAGCCAGGTTTTTTTCTGTGCTCACTATACCATTCTTGGTTATCTTCATTAGCTTGTGCTAAGGCTGACTCAGATTTGCAGAGCTGCAGCTGTTTTCCCTGTGCCTTCATTGCAAGATCTGTGTATAAAGGTGGACCCTAACTGCACATTTCTAAGTGGAGGGCCAGGAAAAGGATTGCCAAACCATAAAAGGACAATTATTTGTTTGCTTATTTTTGTACCAGAACTGGGGTTTGAATGCAGGGCTTTGGCACTGCCCCTTAGATTTTTTACTTGAGCTCTAGCTCCACTCCCAGCTTTTTTGGTTAGCGCCTACCTAGGCTGGCTTAGAATTCTGATCCTCAGATCTCGGCCTCCTGAGTAGCTAGGATTACAGGCCTGAGCCTCCAGCGCCCGGTTCTACGGCCACATCCTGTTTCCTTAGCTTGACCTAAGGGCCTTACCTTGCTCACTTGCTCGCTCATAGCTAGAGCTCTACCACTGAGTCACACCCCCAGTCCAGCATTTTTGCAAACAGTCTGAAAGACTTTTTGCCCTGGGTGGCTTTGAACTGTGGTCCTCCCGAGTCGCTAGGGTTACAGGTGAGTCACCTGCAGAGGGGCCCTGGCCTGCGGAGGCCACAAGGTCAGGAAGAAACCAGTCCGGGCGGGTCCCCCGGAAACTACAAAGCGACGCGGTCATCCTAGCTACTCGGGAGGCTGGATCTGAGGCCCACGGTTCGAGGCCAGCCC